GTCCGGCGACGGCCGGCTGCGGGGGAAATTCGCGGGCCCGGCGGGGTGTGGCTTTCCACCTCCTCCCTAACGTCTTCTCTCTTTCCTCCCGAGTTCAGCGATCCAAGTGGGCGCGCCTGAAAGCAGAGAGAGGCTCAGTCGAGGCGGGCTCCACCCCTCCCGCGCGCCTCACAATGGCGCTTCTCCCGACTCCGGAAAAGGATCGCAACCCCAGGGTGTCAGAAAGCGGTCCCCACAGGCGGTCCGCCCCACCTGGCCCCGGGGCCCCTCCTCCCCGCGGAGAACAGAGGGCGCCCACTTCCCCGGCGCACCGGGCTCCTCGGGCTGTTGACCCGAGCGAGCGTTCACCCAGGGATGCCCACAGTGAATCAACAGGCCCATCCTTGTGAGGAGCAATTCCTACCAGCTATGTGAAGTGGGGAGGGAAAAAATCAGTCACTGTCCTCCAGACTGTGAGTCAGATTTTTGGAGAAATGGCAAACTCCACACACATACGCAGCCCCCAAACGGGGTGTTTTCTGGACCGTTGAAATGTATATGAATGGGGACAGAAGAAACACTTTTCCTTAAGAACATTTAAGCTATAGTTATTTTCTCCCTAGGGTGGTTTCTCAGAAAACAATTCCAGCACATGCACACACACACACACACACACACACACACACACACAAAAAAAAAAAAACCTAGGTGTTGCTACTTGGCACTGATGGACAATTTTCTGGTGAGACACTTTCTTTTATCCTTTTTGCTGGACCTTTTGCTACAAAAAATACTAGAACTGTAAAGCGAGAACAATTTGTAGAAACACGATTAGGATTAGGTAACGCCCCTGTGGAATGAGGGCCTGGTTACTCCTGGTGCCTGATGTATCCGAGCCAAATCTTTGCCCTCCTGGCTTGACGCAGAGCCTTTCCCTGGGTTCTTTGGCAACGCCACCAGCTCCAAATGACTCAGGTCTCACCATGACTACACCATTAAAGCAAGGAACTGCCTGAAACTTGGCGGAGGGGGGGGAGGGGGAAGGAGGGGGCGGAAACAAATACTCCATCTCTCGCCACTTAAACTTTCTCATTTATGGAGAAAAGTCCGAGATCAGTGCCATTTTAATACAGGGCAAATGGCAACAGGAAAAAAAGTCAGCAAAGAGATGTCCCACAACAAAGCTGTGTGCTAAATTAAGGGGAAAGTAGCACCTAGACAAACTGTGGCTTTCAGAATCCAGGAATTTGCTTTCCTCCCTTTCCTGTTCCACCCTTTAGCTCACCCTGCTGAAGGCTTGCAATGCTGCCTTGTCCTCTCGGAAGGGTAGCCTATCTTTAGTAGCTGACTTCCTGTCCAAGCTGGCGGGTATTTGGTGGCAGGTCCTCAGGTACAGACCCCCATCTCTGAACAGAAGTTACTACTGCTAGTCTGGCTCCCTCACTTCAGTGGTTTAGAGAGGAGACCCAGGGTCAAAAGCAGGCTGTGCCAAGAGCTAAATCGGTGCTTCTCAAACTTGAAAGTGTATGAAGACTCACATTAAAATGTATTGATGACTCTGACCGGTGTCACTTCAGCTTACAGTAACTCTACAGGTAGAGGCAAATGGGAGGGGCTCTAATCATAAAATCTGATAACACTTAAAAAGTTATTTTCCAGCCTTCACTTTGTGGAGGTAGATCAATGACTTAACTTTATTTTAAAGGCAGGCAAATGAAAGAAGTCCAAAAAATTAGTTGATAATGTTGCATTCCAAAGAGGCACATAGTGGGCCTCTGCTCAAGCCCTCCCTCGACGCAAGAACACTTTGTTCTAACAACCTGCCATTCTGTGATGCTCACCCCCATAGCATGATCGCTGACGACAAATGGGTGCACAAGCAAATGTGGGGAAGAAAGCTGATGGTGCCCAGCTATCAAAAGATATAGCATCTGGGGTCTTAAAGGCTTGAAGATAAACAAGCGGTATCTAGCTGAGAAGCAACAAAGCCCACATAGAAGAAGCACACCAGTCTGTGTGACCACTAGATGTCGATGGGATCAGGTATCAGGCATCAAAGAACAAAAAAATCATATCATGGTGAATGAAGGGGAGTGAGGAATGGGGACCCAAAGCCCATCTGCAGGCAACTGGACATTCCGTTACAGAAGGACCATGGGAGGAGATGAGCAAGCCAGGGTGCAGTGTAGCAATGATGAAACATACAACTTTCCTCTAGTTCTTTAATGCTTCCTCCCCCACACTATTGTGATCTCAATTCTACCTTACAAATCTGACTAGACCAGAGGATGCACACTGGTACAGATAGGAACTGGAAACACAGGGAATCCAGGACAGATGAACCCCTCAGGACCAGTGGTGAGAGTGGAAATACTGGGAGGGTGGAGGGAAGGTAGGGTAGAAAGGGGGAACCAATTACAAGGATCTACATATAACCCCTCCCTGGGGATGGATAACAGAAAAGTGGGTGAAGGGAGACATCGGACAGTGTAAGACATGACAAAACAATAGTAATTTATAAATTATCAAGGGTTCATGAGGGAGGGAGGGGAAAAATGAGGAGCTGATAACAAGGACTCAAGTAGAAAGCAAATGTTTTGAGAATGATGATGGCAACAAATGTACAAATGTGCTTGACACAGTGGATGGATGTATTTTGATAAGAGTTGTATGAGCCCCCAATAAAATGATTTTTAAAAATGTTCATCTCAGATTTTTTTTAAATAAGGCCAATTAAAAACAACCTGAATATCTAATAAGAGATAATGTTAGATAAATTATGGTATATCCATCAATAGAATAATAATCAACATTATGTGGTTATATTGGAGACTAATGTATTACTGCAAACAAATATCCATATTATACTATTACAGGAGGCAAAGCATTCAGTAAAACAGAATCTAAATGTGATTCCGTTTTTGTAAAAGTGAAGTGGGTATATGTGCACATATACATACATATACATAGGCATTGAAGAAAGATTAAAAGAACATCCACCCAAACAGTATCCTGTTGATTACCAAGTTTTCTACCAGGAATATTAAGGCAATGGCATGGGAGCCAGAGGTGACCTCCTCCGACTACCCAAAGTGAAGGAGAATCCAACTCGGAATCTGCCTGAGAATGACTCCTCTGAGGCCGAGTCAGCTACACCTCAACCCTCCAACAACTTTCCTTTATCCTGCTCGGACACCAACGGGCTTCCCTCGGCACCCAACTTCTCTGTTGGTTTTCATAATCTGCTACAATGGCCACACAGAACTCACAGACAACTCTCAACAATGACGGAGTTTTATGAAGGAAGCCAGCAGAGTGGGCTCCGCACCAGGGGCGGTGGCCTGAGTGGACAGTCCTCTCAACGCCCACAGGTGCATAAAAAGGGTTGTATCATGTACAGCATCCTGCTTTTCTGATAAACCTACTTTTCTGATGAAATGGTAAGGATACTGGTTTTTTGTCTGAAGCACCTCTTCTCAGCCATGCTCATTGACATGTGTGTGTGTCCAGGTGGACCAGAGAAACAAATCCATAGAAACTCATATGTGTACAAGAGAGAGTTTTATATAAAGGGTAATTGTACACTAAGAAAGCATCCCAACAAGTCCAGTTCAGGCCCAGAAGTCCGATATTAGCCCCTTTGTCCTCTTCAGACTCACGAAACACTTGCAATGACACTGAATGCAGGACAATCACAGGTCTGTGGGTAGAAAGTCTTTGGAGCCAGTGGCGTTGTAAGCATCTCAGTGCTGGCAGGGGTCTCCACGTGTCTTCTCCAGTTCCCAGGGCATGGGGTCTATCAGCATAGTGCCACGTGTCTTGTCAGTAGAGAGTCTCCGAGGAAGTGAGCAGAGAGAGAGAGTCTGTCTCCCACCTCCAAGGAGGAAATCCAGGAATTACCAGAATTCTCAGGAGAAGGCCAAGCCCACACAGAGGCCTCATTGGCTATGATCTGATTGACAAACTGAACTCCACCCCTCCGCTCATAATCCTCTCAAATTGACACCAGATTATGTAGCTACCACAGCATGTCTCTCTGATCCTCCACCTCTCACCCACATAGTCTTTTATCTTCCTTGACATCTGCTTCTATGATTCAGGAAGCCCGCCCAAAGCTCTGCCTCAGTCTCAGTACACAGTTCCTCTGCTTCAC